ACATAACTGGGAACAGGGTAACGAGATTGCAAATAGTCTTACAAGGAAAGGGGCTCAAATACCCTTTTTAGGACCTGAGCCGTTCTGCGGTATCAGCAGTAACATAATATTAGGAGAGACTAAAAGAGAATTGGGCAGTAGAAGAACCGGTAATTGAAACAATCTCTTAGAGCTGGGACAGGCAAAGATACTTCTGGGTGAATATAACCAGAAAAGATCGGAAGCCTGTATCTGCCTGAGCAAGAACAGGCTACGTATTGTAACAGGGATCCTTACCGGGCATTGCCGACTAAAAGGATACCTAAGTAAACTGAGAGTAGTAGGGGATGGTGAGTGCAGATTTTGTGAGGAGGAGGACGAAACCTCCATTCACATCCTAAGTGAATGTGTAGCTCTTCCAAATCCAAGGGCACTATTTCTAGGAGGATATCAAATAGAAGAGGGAGATTTACCTGACTTGAAGCCATTTCAAATCCTACACTTCTTTGAGAAAATAGGATTGAAAGGGTCGTTATAGGCATTGAGACATTTCCTTGGTGCATTGACGACAGAAGGGAGCACAATAGATCTTTTAGGTCGCAGTGTATTAACACCCCATTCCCAACATAACATAGATTTAACAGTTAGTAAATTAAAGCTCATGTGGGAATAGTTGGTAATGAAATGGCAGATCTCGCTGCAAAAGATTCCACAAACTTAGAGTATTGCGAGGAACTTTACACGGTTCCCGATATTATCAATTGCTTTAAAAAAGAAATAAGAATCAATTGGGAAAAGATCTGGATTGATTTCAAACATAACAATAATTCAAACAATCATTACACACAAATTCAGCCTAATACATCTAATACTGTTTCCCACATTTCTGAATTTCAAGTATCCAGACAGTATTCTATTTACATTACTAGGATGAGGTTGAACCATGGTGGGTTTCCTTCCCACCTATTTAAGATCGGTGTCCTAAGGACACCCTTCTGTTCTTGTGATAATAATTCAGTAGGAGATCTTAATCATTTGATATTTGCATGTAACAACCACAATAAATATAGAAAAAAATTTTTAACGAAGTTATTAGATATAGGGATTTCTTTTCCAACCAATATTACGTTGCTATTGATCTCAAACAATAAAAAAGTATTTAATACATTGATAACATTTATTAAAGAATCTAAAATTAACATATAAACCAATAACAATTAACAATCAGTGGTAACAATTGTAATAAAAATAATAATGTCTGTGGCAAATGGGTTAATCCCGATGCCAGTCAACCACTGCACACACACAGTTAGTAAATAGTTGTTTATATGTTTATCAATAAAAGAATCATGATTCCTATACTTTCCTTATATCTGTATACAGATAGGAAAGTAAAAAAATGAAAGAAATCAACATTTCAAATGTGAAAAATATTACCATTTGAGGAAATTTAAATATTTTGGTTAAAAATTTAAAATTGAAAAATTTAAATTTTATTGTATATTTTAGAGACATACTGGTGAACAATGAATTTGAGAAATTTGATATGAAAATTCCTGAAGTCAGATTTCTGGGAATCTAAATTAAAGTAGAAAATCAGAATGTCGGGGGGTTGTTGAATTTTAGAAACTGTTAGATGGAAATTGATGGATATTTAAATTAAATAGGTGTATTAAAATATTATGGTGAAATAATTGTTGAATTAATAAGCAGACTGGGTGTAATTTATGCACTAGTAATGAGATAAAAGAGGAATAAGTACTTCAGGGTGTAAACACTAAAAATATATTATCAAAAATTAGGCTAAGTGCTTTCGGTTTATAAAGCCAACATCAATGACATCGTCTAGGATACCCACCTAGTGCAGAAAAGGCATTAAAGACTCGTTAAATCCCATATTTAGGTAATTAGTTATTATACCATTTTATTAAATAATTATAAAATCGTCTGTACTGACATGACATATGACAAGCACACCTATTTTTGACAAAATAACTGTCAGTGGGAAGGGTTGGTATATCTAAGGGATTAGGACATATGTATTATGTCAACAACACGTGAAATCATAGATAATGGAATGAATTTAAATATTTTATATTGAACACAATGAAAATATAACCACATTTTCGAATAGAAATAGCATCTAAGATGGAAGGCTATGTCGCAACCCACTTAGATATACGAGCCCTTCCAATTGGCAGCTATTGTGTGACTCGTTACCGAATGCGTACTATAAAATATAAAAAGTTTAGACCTATACCTTTACAAAAAGCAATCAAAAGAGTTGTTTTAAAAATATTCCATGTTCAAACTATCCCAATAGTAGTTAGAATTCATAATTTTTCAAATTTGTGTTCATACTAATTTCTTAAATTCGAAAACAATTCTAATTCAAATCTTTCCTAGACCACATGTTTGTAAATAATCTTTACTAATTCAACATTTAACGAACTTTAGCACCCTCCTTAAAGTTTTAGTCGAAATTTCACTCTAAACTTGTGATTCTAATCCCTGCTGAAACCTTTCTACCCAGCGTAAAGACAAGGCAAACAATTTAGTTTAATTTCGAGTGATTTTATCATTTTTGTTTTGTACTTTATTCAAGTTTCGTTGAAGATTTGAGGACAATAGTTGATTTCTATTTTTACTATTAAATTGATTTTAGATAATTCAGTTAAAGTAGATAATACGCATATGGGTGTAGAAAAGGTTTTTTTATCTTATTTATTTTTAAATCTAAGGCTCAACAACTTATGAAAAAATTAGGATCAATAGACAAGTCTCTTCTTCAATATGTTGATTAAGAGCATACAGTAGCGTGTCATCACATTGCCTCGAATTTTCTAGATTAACAGCTTGTAAGTAGGATCCCATAAGTAGGATCCCACACATTTGAATAGTCTTTGGCAACGCTGTAACGTCAAAGAAGGGTCTATAGCAAGCGTCTATAGAAGGGTCAGGTATAAATTATAATAAATAATTTTAGAAATGGAATTTCCATTTTCAGTAGGAGTTACAGATATTTTTTAAATTAATTTTAGATTTAAAAATAATTTTTAGCATCAAAATAAATTTACGGAAATATCAATTTTCTTATTTAAATGTAATTATTTTAATAAGCCCCTAGTGTTTTATAATTGTACCTATAATCCTCAGTTAAACTATATTTAAAAATTAAACATCAATTTAGAGTGGTTGTTTTGCATCTGCCTCTATAGATTATAACAGCAAAATAAGGAAATGATTTGACCTAAATATTGTCATAAAACTCAAGTAAATTGTTTCATTACAATAAGTTATTAATTAGTAATTGATGAACTAGTAATTATAATCTGATGGTAAGTAGTGTAGAATAATTGTTATTTATTTGCTAGAATGGTTTAGAGTGATTAACATGTTTTAAATAAATACAAGGACAATGTACTACAAAGTCAGTATAGTTACGAACGTGACAATAAGATTTTGTGCTGATTTTTCTGATTTGTAGTGTGTAATTTATTGTTTGGTGTGAAGATGGGTAGAAGTGGTTTGACTAAAGGAAAACATGTGCATTTGAGTAATGTAAGAAAAAGTCGTCGAAATATAATGAAAAAGTGAGAGAGTCAAATAGTTAATAAATTTGGGATGGACGTGAGTCCAATCAGAATTTCTTATTTCGGATCGAATCAGGAATTTTCTTATACCAATCCATCCCTAAGTCAAATATACAAACAAAAATAATTTTTTAATATTATATTTTTACCATAGATATCATGAAGCTCGGAGATTTTCGGAAAAAAGTGTCCTTTGACCGAAATACAAAATACCAAGGAAACAAGCGACAGGTAAATATATTAATTTTTTAATTTTTTAATCCAGACAGTTTATTAAATAAAAAAATCTTTAAATGAAGATAATTTCCTGACTGTGGTAGAATTTTATATATATATATATATATATATATATATATATATATATATATATATATATATATATATATATATATATATATATATATATATATATATATATAACAATTTTCCTTGGTTTATTAGGTCACATTTATTATTAAGTTATTAAGCACAACATAAGTTTCGGATAACAGTTTTTTCATCTTCTGGTGCAGTCAATTTATTTTTTAAAAAATAAGGGGGACGAAATCAAACAGATTAAAAAATTTTAAAATGCTAAAACCTCATATTTTGTTTCGTAGCGTGTTTTGGTGTATTTGAAATAAAATATTAATTTAACACGATAGGTAGGGACACAAAAAGTTGAGTTTTTATAAATTTAAAAATTAGCAGTGGCGTTACAACAAAAGTTTAAAAATTAAAAAGCTTACAATTAGTTAATTAAATTTAAATATACATTTGACAAATCTTTTGTCAGTTTTATTATTAACACAATTATTATTTTTTTTTTTTAATATGTATCATCTCAAGTATTGTTCTTTTCTTTTAGTTTGGTTCATTTTCGAGAATTCTTACATTTTCAAAATCGAAAGAATCCAAATTTTCCAATGCGTGTTTTGTTATGGCAGTGGAATTTTCATTATAAGTAACAAAATTATTTTTACGATTTTTTATTTTGTTATGTAGATATATATGGTTTTGTTTTTTCAATGTCCAAAAGATGAGGTTTTAGCATTTTAAAAATTTTTAATCTGTTTGTTTTCGTCCCCCTTGTTTTTTAAAAATAAATTGACTGCACCAGAAGATGAAAAAAACTGTTTTTCGAATCATATGTTCTGCCTAATAACTTAATAAAAAATTTGACCGAATAAACCAATGAAATTTTTTTATTTATATAAAATAAAAAATTCTGTTTCTCCTTTAATAATATTAATAAAAATATGAAAAATTCCTTCCTAATCTAAAACACTGATTACTATAATCCGCAGTATATAAACCTCTGGACAAAATTAGGAATTTAAATTATTGCGTTAATTTTGACCAGGAACAATTAATATTCTGTATTCGGGTAGATTCTTTGTGGAACTTTGCATTACTATTTAAATTTTTAAATTATTACATTTATTTTAGTATTCCTCATGCTCTTGAACATAAAATAAATCCGGTACTAGCTGATGAACATCTTCGTAGTTTGAATGATACTGTTATAGTTCAGTTTGAACCGCAACCCGGGTGTAGTCGGAATTATAAGATTAGTGATAAAGAAATAAATGTACCTTTGGAGCAAAAGACAATCTCTGATGATTTTGTTCTCACTGGAAGTAGGATAGTAGACATCTTTTTCCTTTTCAAACAAATTGTTGATGGAGAAAAGCACGAACTGTTTGGATGTGATATCACAGATATGGAGGTTATCAATGAAGTGAGAAAGGGGTTTATGTCAACATTTACTTTTTAATGTAAAATGTGTGGCATAACTAAACAAATTTATTCGGATGATCCGAACAATTTATCAGAAACCACTGATTCAATAGATATCGATTCGGCACTGACTTTGGGAGCAGTTTAGACTGGTATCGGTTACTCAACCTTAGCCGAAATAGCAGCTGCAATAAATATGTCAATGATTGCGGAGAAAACGTACGTCCACTATCACGACAAAGTGGCTGATGCAATTTACTCAGCAGCCATGCAAGTAATGGAAGAAGCTGGAAGAGAGGAAGCAGAGTTGGCCAAAAGCTTAGGAGAAGTAGATGGAAATGGAATTCTATTTATAACTGTGGTAGCAGATGGAGCATGGTCAAAACGATCTTATAACGTCAACTATAATGCTTCTTCTGGCGTGGTTAAGTGTAAATATTATACAAGTAGAAATTGATATTTTTAACATTATTCTTTTTAGGGATGTATTGTAGGTTACCGGACTGGAAAATTATTATATATGGGAGTTAGAAACAAATTCTGCAGTGCTTGTGATTTTTACAACCGGAAACAGTTAGAAATACCTAATACATAAATGTTTTAAAAACTGGACCGGTACGTCTATATCAATGAAAACAGACATTATTATTGAAGGATTTCGAAGCAGCATACATACCGTGGTTTGAAATATGTCACCTTGGTTGGCGATAGTGACAGTTCTGTGTATAAGAAATTTATGGAAACGAAACCGTATGGTCCCCAAACAGCAATTTTGAAAATTGAATATAGAAACCATGTGCTTAGGAATTTTTCTTCGAAATTAAGAGATATAGTCAGTGAGTAAATTCTTTAATGACTTATACCTAACAGGAGTAAATTCTTTAATGACTTTCTAACATTATAATATTTTATTTTTTTAGAGAAACCTTGGAGTATTTCTACGAATTTTTCTGTACCAGTCTACCTAAAAAATGATGTGGAACAAAATTCAAAACGTTTAAGATTTGCTATCAGTAAGGCAACGAAATATCGAATTAAAGAAAACACGGATTTCAAAAAGAAAGTAGAACTGTTAGAAAGAGATATCCTCAATGCCCCTTCCCATGTATTTGGTGAACACGCCGAATGTAAAGCGATCAATTATTTTAAATGTGACAAAAATGGCACACCAATTTCGTAACACTTATGATAGAATGTGGGTTATACAAAGACCTCCTGGTTTGCTTGAATCGACTTATTTTGAATATCGAAAGTAAAATTATATTCAAATTCGTAGGGAAAATACTAAAATTGATTTATTATTCAAAAACGTACTTTCTGTTCTCTAATATTTATGATTTGAAAAATATTTTTATATTTAATATAGGTTTCTCAAACAGCACAAAGAGAGTTCATGTATTAGGGAAAATCCAATTTACATTTTTTATCTCTCAAAAGAGAAGGATGTACAAAAGGAGTTTTTGTTGATATCATTTAGTCGAGAGGCTATACTTGCTTATATCTACTTTTTTAAATTGAATTTTCTTTAAAAAGTAGGTAGGTGTAAGTACAAGTAAATGGATATGAATAAATATATTATTATAACCAGTAATTAACGTATGTCCCTAAAGTTTTCGGAAAAAATAAAACATTTATTTTTTTGGTTGGGAAATAAATTTATTTAAAAATTAACAATGGGAAAGTATTTCTAGAACTCTAAACGTTATTTGATATTTTTATAGAACATACATGGGTCCATGTTCTTTGATGGCACGTAGTTTTGGCCTTACATGGGCCATAAGTCTTTGGACCGTTGCTAAATCGATCTCACGAATTTTTTGCAGTATTCTTCGTCTTAACTGCTCCTCATTTTGGGCTTCCCATCCATTATCATATACTTTTCGACTTAAAAGGGCCCAAAACTCTTCTATAGTCCTCGCCTGAGGCACATTTGGAGGGATGTCGCGCTTAGGAACAAAATTTATATTTTGAGCAGTTAACCAGTCTGTCGTTCTCCTGGCGTAATGGCACGATGCTAGATCGGGCCAAAATATCACTTCATCATTGGGATGATGAGTATGTATAAAGTTACGAAGTTTTGAAAGACATCTCTCAATGTAAATCTCCGCATTGATAGCTTCACCGCGAATACGTCCAACATGTGGCTGTGAAACACCAGCTTCCGAAATGGCGCACCACACTAAAATTTTGTCAGCAAAGTTAACCTTGCCTTTAAATCTAACATGATCAGGAGCTTCTTCCGTATTACGTGTATAAAATCCATCGTTACCTCTCATTTCGGAATTTGATGAAGTAAAATATTTTTCATCATCCATAATGATAAATTTACCGGGAAAATGAATACGTTTCAAAGCACGGCAATATCTGGGAATTTTTTCCATTTGAGCTACTGTATATTTAGGAGCCTTTCTTCTTTTATAATATTTTAAATTATTTCTAGAGAGTGTTCTGCTTACAGTCATCCGGCAAACATTGTATCTTCGGCCAACTTTGTGCAATGACTTTAACACTTTCAACCAATCTCCGTTCTCGTGCACGACTTAAAACTTTTGGCCTCCCACTTCTTGGGAAACTAATGCATGGTATGCCATTTTCACAGTTTTTAATAGTCTGGTAAATTGTGGAAGTAGAAATATTTTGGGCCCTGAAAATTCTAACAATATCGCTCTTAGGTACTTGTCCAACTAAATGATAAATACTTTGACGAATATTAAGCTTATACGACATCTTGACAAATAATTAGTCTTAACTGACATTTAGCAACATACTTTGAGTTGTTTACTAACTTTGTTTCCAATAACAACTTGATCCTAGGCTGTCTGCAATAAATAAATAAAAATAGATTTTTTTCCGAAAACTTTAGGGACATACGTTATTTACTTTCAGCAAACATGGTGGGTTAATTTATAGAAAATTAATTTTGGCAAGAAATTCAGTTGCTAAAAGGGAGTTATAGGGATTTCGGCAGACGATTTATTCATTTAAATATTTGGTGAAGAATTGAAGAATATATTTAAAAAATGTTACAGGAGTTTGAGATGAGAATTATTGACCGAGTTTAAAATGAAAAAAGGGGGTATTATTGAAAGATGTGTAGAAATTAAGGAAGAATATAGAGTTTAAAATAGAGCAGAAAAGACGTGAAGGTGTTTATACTTTTAGCAAAGTATAAGAAGAAGCAGTATATAAGCAGAGTGTGGTAAGTTAATGAAATAGAGATGTTCAATAGGAGAATGAAGTACACGCAACGCAAAAATTCTTGGACCCCCTCGTAAATATTAGAATAAAATATTCATCATTGCTGCTTTTTTGTATATTTAATCTTTATTTATTTCACCGTTGATACGCTTCTAAAAATCTTTACAAAAACAATTTCCCACAATTTTAGGTACCAATGGTTAAAAAGTGGTTCATATTGATTTTGCGTGTTTAAGTAATTGTTAAGTTTTTTTTTGCAACTATGCCTAGCAATAGAATTTCAGTGTTCAATAGAGCAAGAATAGTGGTTTTGCATGATGAGGGTCTGCCGAATCATCGAATCTCAGATAGACTGGGGATTCCCCGTGCTTCAGTTATCCGAATAGTGCGTTTTTACCAGGAAACCAAGAGCGTTGACTGGAGACGTGGGGCTAGGCGTCCTAGAATAACTAATCTAAGAGAAGATCGGTATGTAGCAGGTTATGTACGTCGGAATCGAACTGTAACAGTCTCAGCTGTCCGAACTCGTTTTAGAAGAACGTATGGTCGATTCATTTCCAGTACCCTAATACGGCGGAGACTTGCTTTTAGCTCAGTGGCGAAATGTTCTTTTTCGGACGAAACCAGATGTTTTAATTAGTGATAATCGGCGACACAGAGTTTAAAGAGGGCCAGGGCGACCAGAAAGACTAGAAATGTTTTATGGAGGCAATGGTCGTTGTACACAGCTTATTCATATTCCAGACCTATGACAGCTGATAGATATGTTCAAAACATTATTGAACCCATTATCTCCGAAATGAAATTGGAGCCAATTTTATCTTCATGGATGATAATTGCACGAGAAGGGTACAAAATGCACTAGAAATTCAGAATATTCAAAGATTACCGTGGCTATCAAATTCGCCAGGTATGAATTCCATTGAGCACATGTGGGATTTCGTTGGAAGAGCAATCTCAAACAGAATTAATCTTCCTATCACCCTCCAGGAACTCACAACAACATCCCAATTGATTACATTAACACCCTTATTATTTCCATGCACAGGCGAGTTAATACCTTATTATAGAACAGGGCAGGACACACCAAATATTAATGAATTTTTGATTTCGCTCTAAGTGGTTTTCTTTTGGAATTCAAATTTTAGTAATCATTTAATTATGCACTATTTTTCGTTTGTATTTTTTTCTTGATCAGTTAAAATTTAATTCAGCCAATTTGTTTTGAATACATAACCAAATTAAAAGTACTAATATACACACTTCTTGACTTTTAATAATAGTGTCTCATTTTGACAAACATAAGGGGGTCCAAAAATTTTGGCGATGTGTGTAGTATAGATAAAAGAAAGAAAAAAGACATTTATTTATACTTTTTTGTATTACATAAATAAAAAAAACTTAAATTAAAACGGCCCCAGATCTAAGAAAACAAGTGTTGATGGGGAAACAGAGAACTGTTAAAAATTATGATTGTTAAGACCTTTTAGTTTTAATAAAATTGTTGATTTGTAGAAAAATTGTATGTGTGCATGTTATTTATTTGTTTATTTGTTTATTTGTTCCATCCTAACAGGCTTACTGGCCTAAATTACAAGGACAGACTTTACAATATTTATTATTTACACAATCGATCAAAACGTATCAATAAACATATTAAATAAATAGATATATAGATATAGGGGGATTAAACACAAACTCATATTGAGAAAAAAAAATTCTAAAAAATAAAAAGCAAATTATATAATAAAAGAAATGGAAAAACTAAAATAATTAAACAGACAAGTTCACAATATACCTATAAATTAGGTGTCTGAATGTTATTAGAGGCATATGCCAATCTACTTCGTGCAAGCAAGTAATATTATTTGCTAAACGGAGCATGGTTAGGAGAGGTGATCGAAGAGTGCTACTTACAAAGGGAATATTAAACATAATCGCGGAACGCGTAGGTCTAGGAGGTACATTAAATGGCAAAACTGACAATATTTCTGCGGAATTTATGTGGTTATTTATGATTTTATAGAAAAACAGTATAGCAAACATTTTTCTCCTACAGTCTAAAGAAGGTATTTTAAATTCACTTCGTAATTGTGTTGTTCTGACACTATTATAATCTGGTCTAATAAAGTATTTTTTAAAGTAAAGGTATCTTAAAAATTTGTTTTGTATTCTTTCTAATTCCTGCAAAATGGTTTGGTATTCTCCATTCCATATTACAGAGCCATATTCAAGTTTAGATCTTACTAACGTAACATATATCAATTTTATAGAATCGATTTTGACAAAAAGAGACGTCTGTCGTATCGTAAATCCAAGAGCGCGATTTGCAGATTTTACTACATTTTCAATGTGTTTTTTAAAAGATAGTTTATAGTCATACGTAATTCCTAAGTCTTTGAATTCATATACCCGTTTTAGTGACTCATTATCCATACAGTAATCAAAAATAATTGGATCCTTTTGTCGAGTAATTGACATTACATTGCATTTTTTAATATTAAAGTCTAATTTACATTGAGCACTCCATTCCAATACACTGTTTATATCTTTTTGCAAAGCTGAACAATCTCTAACGGTTTGTATAGGCTTAAATATTTTTACATCATCAGCAAAAAGTAAACATTTGGAATATCTAATAACATCTGGCAAATCATTAATAAATAAGAGGAAAAACAAGGGACCCAAGTTAGATCCCTGTGGAACCCCCGATGAAGCGTGAAATTTACCTGAAGTGTTTCCATCGTGTTTTACTACAAAAAATCGATTTTGTAAATAACTTTTAAAAAGATTCATAATATTTTCAGATAGTCCAAAACGATAAATCTTTTGTAGTAAGACGCCATGATCCACTTTATCAAAGGCCTTGCTAAAATCTGTAAATATTGTGTCTAGTTGAGTCTTATTTTCTAATGAGTCATTTGCTTCGTTGATGTATATTAACAGATTTGAATTCACAGATTTTTTGGATACAAACCCGTGTTGTTGTTCTACAATGGTATTTTCGAC